CTTTCCTGCTTATGCAGGGGGTCGGACTCGATGATCTATAGAGGTCCCTTCCGACCCTAACATGTATGAATCTATGAATCTATATGGTATAAACAAGTCTCCCTGCCTGGAAGCCTCTTTAGTTTTGCATGAACAGTCAGATGCTGACAAATGCTGTGAAAATGAGAGAAGTTCCCAGCACCTTTCATCTTGGTCACCTCACAATAGATTCTTCTTGCTGCATCTTGTGTTCCTTGTTTAGTCTCCTAGCTCAAACCACCAAGTGCAGAAGTATCTGAGGAGAGACAAGAAAAATAATGCTGTTTAAATAAGGGAAAAATCTAACAGGACTGTCAGCCTCTCTGGAGCTAAACCCAACCTGGGCTTTTCCTAAGATCCCAGCAAGCTCCGTTTCAGCTCTGCTCATTCTCAGAAGTGCGTTCTCAGCTGTTACTGTTGCTTCTACAAGCTTCCCTTGTAAGAGTCAATCCAGAGAGTATGACCTCCCGAGCTCTGGAAATCATGCAACCTGTTGCAACTCAGCTATGCTGAGGAAGTCTGGGCATCGATGCAACAAAAGCCTGTGATACAGAATTGAAAGAGGTGGTAGCAAGCCCAGGATTGACCTTGCTGCTGCTGCAGAAGCTGTAGATCTGCGGCAAAAGGACATGGCTTGTCTCAGGGGGAGGGAAAGTCCCCAGTGCCAGGGTTTAGAGACTGGGAGGCTGATCTATATCAGCACTCTCATCCAAAGATAGAAACCTGGGGGCCTGGTGAATCTGACTGGCAACTTCCTGAAGTACCATAAGGCTTGGGTTTCAGTGGGCATGTGGGTTCGTTCTATCCAGTTGGGGCGTGATGCGCACTGCGCAGCATACAAACATAGGGATCACTTCCTTTAAATTCCTCTTTTCAATTTTGGTTACATACTTCATTACTGAGTAACAAGATAAACATGGTTTGGCTCCACTCCTCTGCATCCAGGTACCAGGGGCACTTCTACACGTGCTCTGGGGGTGGGGGAAGGTGCTTTAATTAGAGTGGCTCTGCCACAGCATCCTGTTCAAAATGGCAGCAGGGACACTTGAACTAAGGCTTGTTCAATGAGTTTTAGTTAAGTGCCCCCACCACCACTCTGAAGTGAGGGGATGCTGATACACGAGACATGGAGGCTGGCTGGAGTGCGGTAATTACCACGCTCCAGAAGACTCGATTAATTGAGTCTGCTCTGACATGCTGTAATTACAGCACACCTACAGGCACCCCACCATTTCTCATCCTGAGAGAGTTCAAAGGAACCTGAACTCCAGTTAGAAACTTTGCCTGCTGGATGCAATATACCCACAGGTGTTTGCAGAAACTAAGGACAGCCTTTTCAGAACAAGACAGCTTTTGTCAGCCAACATGAGCACAGTGTTATAAGGTCCTTAGTTTATGATGAAAGAGCAGAGCTTACATGAAACGTCTATAGTGGTGCACTGCCTGCCTTTCTGCCCCATGCCATCGCTCTGCAGTGAGCAGCACAGTTCTTCTCCTGGCACCTCAGGGCCTTGGTTTGTTTTAAGTTCCAGTCACTTTGTCATCCTAAGCGCCGACTTCCTTGGCTACCAAGGATCCAGTTAAAGTCCGAGTGATCACTGTTGTTTTTACTGCATCTCCAAGTTACCTCCATTCCCACCATGAACTAGTCTTGATAGTTCATTAAGACCAACCGATATATGCCTGTGTGAACAACCCTTCAGTCCTTGTAGGCCAAAATACAAAAGCGAGAAGGGTAAACTGAGTCATGCATTCTTTTTGTAAGAACAGAACAAAAATTCCCCACATTCCTGCAAGCAGGTGGCAAGAAAATGAAAGCAGTATTACTTACATTACAGAACTTGGTTCAGGTCACCTGAGGCTCTGTTCTTTAATGTCTGGCTGTATCCAGAGGCCTATGAGGTTTGGTACAACCTGCAAACAAGCTTCGTTTCAAAGGTTGAGCTGCAACCTTCAATCAAAGCAGCTGGACAGTGCTGATGATGCTTTTCTTCCAAGCTGTGAGCTAAATGCCATGTTTAAAGCCAGCTCCCATTTGCCACTCTCTCATCATATCCACCATTTCTGCTCTTCTCTACGAAAGGAGTAAACAACAAGGTAGCAGTTCCCTCTCCACTGCTTCTTAGAGAACAAATTCATTCCAGAGGATGTGCTTGCTTTCCTTCAAGAACAATAAATATTTCACAAACCAGATGCTGGAGCAACTCACTGGACTCATGCATATGGTCCTCCTTCAACTAGGGTCCCAGTTTTAAGTTTGAAAACTTGTGTTTCATCATGATTTGAAGAAAAATATTTTCAGAGAAAAAAGGGATAATTAATTGGTAGACATCAGCCCCCACAGTCTGGCCAAAATGCACACATTGCTACAGTATGACTATTCTGACAGGAACCAGGCGGGCCTTGGACTGCAAAGCGAACAAGAGAAACACATGGCACCTGTTCTGATGGCCTAACTATCACAATGCTCTGGCATCACTAGGCCCCTCACAGACTACATTTATCATGTGATTACACAGTAAATGGCAACAAGACATATGCAAGATATTTCAGATCCAATAAAATCCTAAACCAGTCACAAAGACACTCTACTTTTTAACATTCCCATTTAATGCAGAACAACTTTGTAGCTGGTTTGTATTACACTTAATTTTAAACATTTGGCATCTAGACACCCAGAAGCTGTGTGTGCAGCCCACCTGCATGCACAACCCTTGACTACGCCGTCCTGTGGGTAGTCAGCATATTCAAAGGGCAGAAGCATACTGGGCTGCACCACGCCTTTTAAAAGTCTCGGGTCTGGACAGCCTGAAATCAGAGAGGCTCCCAGTTCCACCATGCTTGCCTTTCAAGAGGCCAGCAGGTAGGAAGCCCAGCATCAGGGATCTAGTCCCAAGTCCAGACTCCCTGTACTGGTAGTCACGTGCCTGGGATCAGAGGAATTTTATCCCCAATGCCAAAAATCAAAAGTCCTACCATGCACATCTGAGGATCAGGCATAAAATTCCTCTATCCCAATCACATGATTATATGAACATCTTCCAGGGACCCTAGGGATGGATGAACCATCATAAAGTAAATGAGGACCAACCTAAACCTTTGCATAAAAATCAAGTGCAACCCAAACTTTCGCCCAAAATTCAAAATCTAATTCTGAAGATTGAAAAAGGCTAAAACAGAACATGGATTTAGAAGCATAAATGAAACCACCTCAATGAGGAAATACAGGTCTTTGCTTTTGTGAGGAGCTTTCCAGCAGTCTGTGTACCCTTGCGAGCAAGAAATGTGTTTTCTTTTTGAAAACCACCAGGGCTAAATTTCATCCACATGATATCACTTGCATTCAAAATTAGCATCTTTACAAATGTCTTGGACAACTATCTTATCACTGACAAATAATATTCCCCAAACAAAAGAGAAAGTGCCTTCTACTCCAGAGGACCAGTTAGGCTAACATACGAGTCTACTGAAGCCATAATTCTACAAGGAAGCCAAGATACAGATGAGTGCAACTCACTTCAATAGCAACATTAACTATGATCCAACTAGCATTACTTTGGTTTTATGAATGCCTGCAAGGAAACCAGTTGGCCCCAACTGTGTCTTATTTAATTCTGCCATTTAAATACTGGGCCCTATTATAATCTGACAGCCTCATAGATCTCACGCATTCACAGGCTTAACCTTATTTTCTTATTTCACTTTCTCCTTTGGGGTCTACTCTAGTGCAATCACTGCTGCTGTTCAAAGAAAGGCCAATGCTTTTTAAAAAAAAGCCTTTCTACCACCTGCTGAAGAGCCGAGTGAAAAGACCGTCAGCGTTTGAAACAGAAGAAGGGAATGCAGAGCGCTCTTCAGCGGGACAGAATAATGAGAGCTCAGACTGTATGCAAGATAAAATAAGAGACAGAATACTACACAATGAGCACTGCAAAAACCCACAGAACACCCCACCTCCCACATTTCCTGCACTGGGCCCAAACTGAGCACCTGACACTTCATGGGTCAAATTCTCCATTCCATTATAATGGCTGTCTCTTCCAAAACCCCATTTATTTAGTGCTCTGGCTTATGCCCGAGGCATGCGGTTTTATATCTTTCTTTTCTTATCTTATATAATGCATCCGAATAAATGGCTAACACTTTTTAAATCCTGCTAAGCTTTTGGATTCAAAGATATCTTGTGACAACAAATTCCACAGGATGATTATGGGTAAAAAGCGTTTCCTTTCCTTAATTGTATCTACTGCCTCTCATCTGAAGCCCCCTTGTTCCTGTATTATGACAGCAGTAAAGAGTGCTTGACCAACCTTCTCTAAACATATTTGACATCCCCCTCTTTTTGTGTGTGTGTATTTCTTTCCTCAACAAACCAGTCCTAAGTATTTTCCAGGATTTTTTTTAATCTCAATGTGTTTGTCATCCATCTCTGGACCCCATTCTGTTTGCATTATGCCTTTTTTAGATTGAGAGACTAGGTCTAAACACAGTAAGCTAGGTGACTGGTCCAGTGAGCTAGACAGTGAACTGAAAAGGTGACAGTGCCATCAGCTGTTATATAGCCTAAACATTTGACAAATTGGCGAGTCCAGTGGAGGGCAACAAAAACGGTGAGGGGGCTGGGGGACATGACTTGTGAGGACAGGCTGAGGGAACTGGGTTTATGTAGTCTGCAGAAAAGACGGCTGAGATGGGATTTAACTGCAGCCTTCAACTCCCTGCAGGGGGGCTGCAAAGAGGATGGAGCTGGGCTGTTCTCGGTGGTGGCAGATGACAGGACAAGGAGCAACGGGCTCCAGTTGCAGCAAGGGAAGTTTAGAATAGATATTAGGAAGAATTTTCTCACAAGGAGGGTGGTGAAGCACTGGGACAGGCTCCCCAGAGAGGTGGTGCAGTCTCCATCCCTGGAGGTGCTTAAGACCCGGGTAGACAAAGCCCTGGCTGGGATGATGTAGTTGGGGCTGGTCCTGCTCGGAGCAGGGGGGTGGACCTGATGTGAACTCCTGAGCTCCTTTCCAGCCCTCATTCTCTATGATTCTATCCTTTTGAGTTAAATCTCTAAATAAACAAGAGATATGCGAATTTTGTACTTCTATAAATAATGCTCTCCCCCATCTCTATGTAATTAGTTTATTCTTCTTAAAGAGCCTTTAACTGCTCTATGAATCATCTATCTTGTAGAACGCTGTGTACATGCGCTTGCGTGCACTACCCTTGTTTGTCACTGCTAACTGACCGT